GAATTTGTGGTGGTTTCACTCTCCTGACTTTCCATTTTCTTAGGCTTTTGAGTACAAATTAAGGAGATCTTTATTACCAGAAATCAAATCACTCTTTGTAGTTACTTAAGCCGTGAACGAGTCACACTACTTTCTGTTGAGAAACAGAATAGACGGAAACACTTTACTGAATTGTGGCTGTAGAAATATTTGATGTCGGTTCAAAACGCAGCTCTTCACAACAAGAAAACGTAGGAAGGCAAAAGGTGATGCCAAACACAAGATCAAAACAAAGTTTTCAGTGTAGACTCTTCTACCCTTTCATAAAGAGCATAACACACTGCATGACATGGTAAGTGCATCAGCAGGGTGTAGACATTTACCTGAAGTAGGTCGGATCCATTGTAAAGGTCAGGTTTAGTGTTAGGAATAGTAACAGAACCACCAAAACATATTTGACTAACTGAATAAAAACATAGTATTATTCCTCTTGGTTCCTAAATTGCCCGTGTGTAATCTTCCCCTCAGATCTAACCTAATGGACATTAATGTCAAAGGGAATCTGCCAGGGACACCCGGATCTTCGAAATAAGCCTTGTAATGTCATGCTAAATTAGGTCCGCTTGTTTTTCATTCGAGGACATTGGCTTTATTTGTTTTGTGAATGCTGTCTTTTCTGTAAAGACCCGAAAAATAGTAATAGTCTAATGAATCAAATGGAATAAAACAAAGTGGTCTTAATGTGAACAGCAAGTAGAAAATGAATTCTAGTATTCTACAAATGGAAAGAAAAGGATGCAGAAGATACTAAAGTACACAGACTATTAAGATAATGTGAATAGTATATTCATTTTTATTGGAAAGACATGGAAAAATTGTGTTTCAGCAAAGCGACATTTCTGTTGTGGACTTTTAGTCTTACACTGAGTTACACAAAATGTCTACAGGCATTATCAAACGCCTAAGAGAGAGGTCAGAGGAAACTATGGAATCCAGGAAAGCATGAAATCACTATGAAATTTCAAAAGAGCCAAAAAAAGGGCCACAGTTGCCCTGAGGAGGGCACAGCTGCCCCGAGGAGGGCACAGCTCCGTTAGCCCCAAGCGTGCAACGCAGCACTGCACTGCTGGGGAGAAGAGCCACATGGACCATCTTTGGTTGGATTCTCAGTGCACATTAATGTTTAACAGACTAACGGTGTGTCGGGCAACGGCAAGGCCTTCAAACAAAGACAGCATTTCATGTCTGTTCAGTGTTTGTGTCAAGTGAAGTACAATTGGGCCTGTTTTTGTGCTGCTTCGTTTTCTGTACCGTGGTCCTCAAATTAGGGAGACAACGTGAGATTTGACCTATTTGCGGGTTTCCCGACAGTGACTATGATCGGGTGAATAAGGAAGTATGAGTTATTCTCACTATTAGGCCCTGACTCTGAGACAACTATTCACTGTTCCTGATAAAGTGCATTAAATAGAACCTGCAGCTGTTCAATCTGGTGCTGTGCTCCTCTAAGCTAGGCAAAGGTGGGTGCATCTACAGTGGGATGGTTTCACTATGAGGAATGAACAGTATGTGCAAGGGGTGCCTTTCGTGCCATTGCTAACTACGTGTCCCCGCACGTCGCCCAGCAGCAGCATCTGAACTTTCCAACCTCAACCACTCTTGTGAGTCTTGTGAGTCTTGTGAGTGCCGAGGCTGCACCATGGCCATGGCGCTGATGGGAAGCCACCCTTTGATCAATATGTATAACTACTTGACGGAGAATGTAGGGAGGATGGGGCCAAACTCTTCTTGGTGGTGGACAGTGACAGGACAAGGGGTAATGGGTACAAGTTGAAACACAGCCCTGGCACAGGCTGCCCAGAAAGGTTCTGGAGTCTCCTTCTCTGGAGATCTTCCAAACCCGCCTGGATGCCACCCTGTGCCACGTGCTCTAGGTGTCCCTGCTGGATGATCTCTAGAGGTCCCTGCCAACCTCAACCATTCTGTGATTCTGTGATTCTTTGTGCTTGTCCCCATCCTACTATGGCTTGATAGTGATGAAATGGAGGAATGATGCTCTGTGCTCTTCCATGACTCGTGTAACTCATTCTTGCACATATTTGCACTCGCACCTCATGGGAAGTAACCAGGCTGCAGCAGCAGGCTAAGGCTGAGGCAGATGAGGTGGCAGAGATGTGCAGAGAAGGTGGCCTAAAAGCACCGTGCTACCGCAGCTGCTGTGAAGTGTGAAATACCTACAAACATAGGGCACTTTCCAGAAAAATAAAAAGACTTTGGCCATTTATCCTGTCCTAGTTCTATTTCATGTCATTGCATGCCACCTACCTTCAACTTGCCGTCCACAAGGTGGATTTGGTGCCTTTCAATTTCTAGCCTCAATTTCCTTTTCTGTTGACATGAGCAGAGGAACAGCTGCTGCATTTCACTGGTGTGCAACTGAAATAATCTATTTCCTTCCCCTCCTTCAGAAATGCATTTTGGAACTTGCAAAGCTAATAGTGTCTGCTTTGAAAGCCTTGAACAAAAGGCACTACTAGAGCTACGCAAAGAACTACTGTTAGTATTAATGAATTGCTTCAGCCAAGAAGGAAAAGCAGGTTTCCTCTTTGGAACAGCAAACAAACCACAGTAGTATTTACTGAGCACTTTAAAGATGACGGTGGCTACATAAACACTAAGAATTATTAAGGTTTCTTTGTGAAAAGGTCAGCTGCGTGGTGAGAAACGCGATTGCAGCTTCCAAGCCCCCTGGCAGACAGAATGAGCACCTTTTGGTTACGCAGGATTGTAAGCCAGAAACCACCCTCTCTTCAGAGACTCCGAGGTGAAAGAAATGCCCCCAACAAGAAGGCTTCCGTTCCTAAAAAATCCCAACTAGGCTGAATATTTATTTACTGCTCACCTGGCAAGCCTGGCTACTAAAGACCTTCTAATGTTTATCCTCCTGCTTTACAACTGTGGGGGGCTGTTCTTCTGCAGAGTGTAGTCATTTCCAGCTGTTGATCTGAAGAAACTCTAGGGAGAGAGACCAGAGCTGGGGCAGGGCTGCCTGGAGGCCCAAGCAGCTTTCTCCAGGTTTCAGCCACTGGGGACTCCTAATGAACCCAGCTTCTCCAGCACTGCTCGATAAAGAGTTGAGAGCCCTGTCCCGTAAAATGCTGCACAACTTACGCTTCCCATAGCATTCCCCCAGCTCTTGGAATTTCTGTATGCTCTGTAGTTTGAGGAATTAAACCTACATACCTCGGATGCAGATTTACCTCTCATTATCTTGGTTCTCCGGTTCTGTGCCACCTTCCCTGCAAGCTTCAGTTAGGCACAACATTATTTTAATTTAAAATAAAAGCAACAGCATGAATTACCTTTAACAAACAGATTTTCTTCTGGTGTACCTTTATATTGTCATTGGAAAAGTTTTCCTTTCTAATGCTGAACAGACATTGAATAGCAATTGTAACTTGCAAACGAAGGCAGGTCCACTTTTCATCAGAACCATAATTTCTTACCTAACTTATCCACAGAAAGAATAACTTTATGATCTGCCAATAGATATGGCTAATTTGCACTTAAGTAAACTACATTAACTTACGCTAGCTCACTTTTTTTTTGATTCACTAAAGCAAAAGCGCTACAATTCAGCTGAACCCTAGACAGTTTTTTTTTTTTAATGGGGAACATTTTAGGTTCCCTGACAATCTTCTCTGTCCTGAATTTTTAAGCAACTTCTCAGTAACTTGCCACAGCTTGAAGGCAGGTGAAATGTCTGGATCTGGGTACTTAACTGACATCATACCCAAATGCACTGAAGAATAATTTCTAATGTGTGTGTGGTTAACAAGACTTGCTATATATTTCTATTGCAGAAACTACTGGGATAAAACCCTGGTGGAGTGTTTTAGAGCAACATGGTTAAAATATAGCTCCTTACAAAACCGTAATGATTTGCACTGCCTTTCCAACACAGGTACTAGCAACAACCATGTCTATTTTAGGCATCTCAACCACTAAAAAGGCCAGAAGTGCTATTAAGAGTTAATTTTCCATGCCTACATTAATCAAGGGGCCTCTTCTGGAGTGTGGCTATATGTCATGCTCTCACCAGCTGTCAAAGCACGGGTACACTGCGCCCTTCTCCCTCATCCCCACCAAGAGGCCTCAGGGACAAGTGCATTGCATAGTAGCTGTGGGTGCTGAACCTCAGTGCCACATAGACGTGTGTGGAGAGCGCGCATCAGAGACTCGCCTAGCATCTGTGCTGCTGTGCCTGGCAGCTAAGCTTCCGAATAGTGGTGCCAGTGAACGATATGCCCTGGCTGTCTGCTCAGTGCTCGGTCATCCCCGGGCGCTAGGAGCACGTGTACGGACGCCGCAGCATTGGGGACACGTCCCACATCACTACGTACGTGTTGCAGACCGCTACCAACCGCCCCGCTCTCTCTTGCTGCACCGCGTGACAGATCCAGGGGCCACGCCAAGGAGGGAACAACATTGACATAGCTTGTTAGGCAGCTTCGGGCATCATTCATAACGTTTTGAATCATTTTATGGATCTCCATGTAGGAAGCAGGGCAGTTCCTGCAGGGTTGTCATTGGTGGGATGTCAGTCACCTCCAGCCCCATGTAGAACTTGGGGGTATGGAGAAATCAACAGTCCTGGCAGCTCCTGTGAAGCAAGAGCAGCACCGCGGGGCTGCTCTGGGACCGAACAAATCCATCCAGTCGCGCAGTCCGGGGTGCCCCTCGGCACGCGCTTGGGCACGGCGCAGGCACCAGGAGCTAAGTGAGTGGCGGGATCCGGGGGCGCCGGCGCGGCTGCCGTTGGGATACAGCTTCCAGGGCAGATCCTGCGCTCTTTGCAGTCCTGCCGAGCTCCCCAGCGGAGGTTTTCGCGGGCGGCAAAAGCGTCCTGCGGCAGCGGGACGCGCGGTGGTGAGGCCAAGTCAGTCTGCAAATGGGTCCAGGAGATGCTGCTCGGGCGGGCTGGGTCGGCTCTCAGGCTAGCGTGGACGGGGTGAGCGTTGTCAAACCGCGTTCACTATGGGGCTGCACGAGCTTTTCCTTTGCTTTTCCTTGGTGCGCAGCAGGCGGAGGATGCGCTCATTTTTTGTGAGTTCTGACGGCAGCTCATTTGCCTGTGAGAGAAAACCTTGTAGTTAGAAAAGCTGAAGCAGGTTTTCCAAAACAGTTTAAAAGTGTGGGAGCTCTAGAGAAGATGGTGCTGGCACAGAACTGAAATGCCTGTTTCCACTACCTGCAATGTTCTTTTGAATCAGCTGCAGTTTTAGAGAATGGCAGCGGAAATTCTTTAAAGAGTCACTTTAAGAGTCAAGAGTCACTTGCACCCACAGCATGCAAGTCCCTCCCCGGTCACCAGGATAATTCCAGCCTGGGACTTGCTTGTGCTGACTACCCAGCCTAAGTGATACCCCTCGGCTCCCCATGCCACTGCCACAAAATTAAAGGAACATTGCTGTTGATATCTGTGGGAGACGAGGCAGCTCTTAGGAACTGAAGTGCACAAAATCCAAGGAAAGACTTCTATTAAATACTGAAATACTCTGAAATACTCAGTGCTATTCTGTAGGATAGGTAATAGAACATAGAGACTTTTTAATGCTACACACCCTTCCTCTGCAAAACCTATACATGTTGTATAACTGTATGAAAACAAAATATATGACATAACAATGACAATAAAATAACAAGCTCCTGTATTAGAGGCATTAACTCTGCTGCCATCGAGTGGAATGATATAGAAACAACATGCACAGGTCTTACATTGAATGAGCAAAATGTTCAGAAAGCAGATACTGAATTACTTGCTCTACAAACTTTCATTCATCCAGTCTTAAGACAGAAACAGATACCAGGTCATACATCCACAACTGAATAAGCCCACCTGGATATCAAACACTTGCAGCAAATAGTTCATAAAAATAGCACAGGGGAAGACATTTTCTCAGAAATTTTGCACGTATGCTACAGTACCTAGCAGAATAAAGGAAACGATAAATTTACCACGGACAATATGCAGTTATTAAAAGAATCTGAAGATATTTCAATGAACCAACAGATTGGTAATAAAATATGGGAAAGATGCATGTAATTTTGAATTCTTTTATATATATATATATAAGAAATGTAGTCAAATTTTCTCAGCACAGGCACCCATGTGTACACATTCCTCTCACCTGGGCATATCCTCCTTGCACATCTGTTAACATGTGACCCTGGTACAATAATTTGTAATGGATCGGGGACATAACAGATGGCATTTCAGGGCAATGGCCATGTGCCTGGCCCCTGATGAGCCACAGGTAGCAGATGCCTCTGCTAGAGGTGATTGGAGCACAGTATCATGCATGGTCATTCACTGACAGGCAATCGCGTCACCAGTGCTAGCGCGCGGCACTCGCTGGCACGTTCGGAAAAGCCCGTGGGCAGAAACTGATGGAGAGGACGGTGGGTATCCAGGAGGGATCAGGGTGCAAACAGGAGGCGCCACCTGGAAGGTGGAGCCTGCAGGCAGGGCCTGGCTCCAAAAGTCAGGGCCTGGCTCCAAAAGTCGTCGCGCGGCCCTGCCGCTCGTACCTTGTTCCTCAGGCACGGGTCGGCTCCCGCCTCCAGCAGCAGCGCGACGGTCCTGGCGTTGCCGCTGAGCACGGCCGCGTGGAGCGCGGAGGTGCCGTTCTGCAAAACAGGGACATTGGCACCCTGCGTGTAACGGGAGGCCGTGAAGCCAGAGCACCTGCGAGAAGTGAATCTCCATACAGGAGGGAAATAGCACGGGGAGATTAGGTCGTCAAGGACATGGTGTCTGGTTATCGCTTACGCAGGAGGCTGGCAGGCTAGAAGACTGCGAAGGAGGTGATTTTAAATGCTTTAATACATATGAAGGTCAGGTCCGCTTTACGACAATAATATTTTCTTTTCAAATTACAATTTGTCGATAGATTAGTGGCAAAATAAACACAGCGCTGGCTTCTGCCTGACGGAACTCAGCCATTAGCAAGCTAAACAGAAGCACAAGCAGCAATGGAAACCATCTGCACATCCTATCTCCTTTCTCTGCTGATTAATGGTCTGAACATCAGAGAGCAGAACTGTTATTTTTTCATAGCTGGCCTTTTGTTTGTGGCTGCAGAACTGGCGGTCCAGACAAGTGTGGAAGCTATCTCATAACTGTAATTAACAGCTCTGTTAATGCCACCTGCAATTTCAAGTACGTCCAAATTGCAATTAGTTGCATTGACAGGGGCTATAAAAGTGTGTGATTTATGGGTACATAAAATCAAGTCAGCTATTAAAAAGCAGCTTCCAGATGTCCATTATTCTTGAAGTCACGTTATTAATTCAGGGGAAAATAAAATCAAATAGAGAAATGCTCACAACAGATCTCTTAGGATTCTGTTTTGCTGACTAAATGCAATTAAGGACAGCATATAATGCTAAAAACTGCACCACCAAGAGCAGTCCATTTACTGTAGAAATAAAATCAGATGTCACAAAGCAAAACAGAATGCCTCCTACATCACGATGTGCTTTCTCCTTCCAAAAATCAGTGTCACAATATTTTTGAAGAGATTTTTTTGTGTGTGTAGCACTAAACGCTAAATTGGATAATTTGTGCCTCCCCCACCTTCTCTGGCCTGAAGCTCTTTATTGTCTTCTAGCTGCATAGTCAGGAGCATCAGGCTTTTCATAAACCCTTTGCCTTCTTGGATTCCTATGTAAAACCCAGTCTCAATATTTCACTACTAACCTTCAGCAGGCCAAGCGTGGGAGAAAATTTCAGTAACTCTTCTATCACGTTGTTGTAACCTTTAATGGCAGCTTTCAGTAAGGCAGTTGTACCATCCTGTAGGAGAGAGAGGAAGGTAAGTTGAGTCGTTTCAGATGCTTTACCTGCACTCCCCTTGGCTGGAAGGAGGCACCAGGTCTCCACCCTTGCAAGGGTCTTCAAGGAGGCACCACCCCAGCGTACGCTGCTGTTCTTAAAGGGTTAGGAGGATAGTGAAGACCTCAGGAAGAAATCAGCCAGTGACCCCATATATCAGCTCCATCTGTCCTTTATATGGGTGCTGCCATTCCCTATACCAGGTGGCCCTCCAGGAAGCTGTCCCAGATACAAAAAGAAAGAGGGAGCCCAGAGCTTGGGAGGAACTGTAAAACCCGGAGAACAGACCAAGCTGAAGGGACACTGGCCCTCCCGGCACGTTGCCCTGTGGCCTCAAAACGAGCCAGGGCGCAGGCACAGCACGGGAGGAAGCGCTACTCACATCGCGCGTGGCGTCGCGCTCGGCTCCCCGCAGCAGCATCACCCGCACCACCTCGCTGTGGCCCATCTGCGAGGCGATCCACAGCGGGGCCGTCCCATCCTGCACGCAAAGAGACAGCTCAAGGCTTCCCCCCGACACCCTTGGCCCCAGTCTGCCTGCTGCGATGGATGAACCTCAGCGTCTGCGGTCATCAGAGACAGAGCAATGCCAGTGTCTGTTACTGCCTGGGCTGCTTGCCTATTTCTCTGCTTGCTCTCAGCAGCCTTTGGATTTGACAGGAAGAAGTAAATAGAAATATATTTCAAAAGACTTTCAAATGAGCTTTAATGAGAAGGTTCCAAGGAAAACAACATTTGCTTTTAATAAAATATTTCTGCTTTGATCAAAGAAGGAATCTCTCTCATCAATGCCAAATGAAGATTCATACGATGTGCTGAAGCTATCCAAAACCACTGTTGAACCAGTTCTCTGTTTTCTATGGGCTAGTGATTTAATCCACTGGAAGAAATAAATCATCCATTTTTTCCTTTGATATATTCTGTTCTGTTGTTCTGACTCTGAGAAAGAGCAAATGTACATCCTGAAATCCTGATATATTGAGGTTCAGTCTTCACACAGGGTAAAGAAGAGGATCTTGGCCCACTCTTGCATCAATTCTCCATAAATCATCTTGTTGAAATTACTGACCTCACCCATCATATATCATGTTAATACAATGAGTTTTCTTTGTGATTTAAAAATAACGTTGAAAGGACCTCTTGTACACAGAATGTGTGGCCGTAGAGTGATCACAGAAACTGTCCCTCTCCAACATACAGTGTTTTCCCTGTCAGCAAGTTGACAGTTACTTATTTTTTGAATCTTCCTCCACAAGAGGGCTCTAGAAAATAGGAAGAGAAACACTGAAAAACCTTATAAAAATTTGGAAAATACCAGAGACTCACCAGCAGAATTAACTCTGCACTAAAAACAAGTCCTGTGCAAATTCCTGGTACCATTTATGAAAAAGAAAGAAAGAAAAGAAGAAAAAAAAAACAGCTCTCTTTTCTATCTTTTATTCACATATCCACAGTGAAGTTTATAAATGCAACTCTTGTTGTCAGATATGAATGAAAAGAAACAGAAGGAAATGCTAGTGTTGAGCAACATCACTGTTACCATCCTATGCTAACTCTCCTTAGTAGTATCAATATTGCCATCAACTACGCAACCACAGAATAATCAAAAAAAAAAAAAGAGAAGAAAAAAGAGTGACCATCTTGGATAATTTAATCTAAGGAGAAGAAGGATGATGAAGATGTTGGTGGGCTCACACTGACTCTTCCTTAGCCAAATGACATTTATCAGGAAGGTTTATTCAACAGTAGGTAATATTTATATAGAGTAGATGAGATTTCTGTCCATTTCAATGTTGGTATATAATGCAAAAGAAATACTACATTGTACTAGGAGGCTATTAGGGCACAGAGACAAGACAGGGAGAAAATAAGCCCAGGGGACGAAACAGCCTCTCTCTGTTCAGTGGTCAGAAGGGTTCAAAAGGTACTTTCTTTTTCCTGTCCTTCTGCCCATCCAGCAGACCTGCAGATTATTATATGCTTAGAAAAATCAACATCAAATATCTCATATGTGTTTTGAAACTATGTTTATTTCCTTATTTTTTGCAAGCTAATAGATATGAATTATGTCGCATTCTGTGCAACAGTCCCAAACATACCTTCACTGAAAGTGCTGCTCTTCCTTCTCTTACCCATTAACTAAGGACACGGCATTGCAGCTTTTAATCTCATACAATTTGCTGTTCTCTTGGAAAGGGCCAAACTAAGGCAGGAGCTGAGATGCCCCCTGAATGCCCACTAAGGACTTTGAGGGATGGAGAGTCCCTGTTCTAGGGCTGCTGGGTGTCTGCTGCTCTGCTGTGCTGCCCATCAACCCACTAGCGCCAGCTGAAACCTTGCTAGTAGGGGTCTGCGTCCTTGGCTGCCCTCTACTATCTCTGTAGGTTTGTGGGCTTACATATGTGTGTGTGTGCTTATCATATGTAAAGAGAAAAACATTAATTTTCAGATTATTTTGAATCTGCTTCACTGATTTGGACTAAAGCCTCCTGGGGCACAGGCTGCCCAAACAGCGTAAAATTCCTTGGCAAACAATCTTCCTGATTTGCGATTTGAGTAAGAGAAGCAAAGCAGCATGGCTTGCACCAGGCTCCAGACACCGCCCTGGGCTCTGTCTAGATGAAATCATGACAAAAGGATGCAGCAGAGGTCCCGGGAGGCCTGTCGCCGTGTCAGGAAGCACAAGAATGCTAAATACCAAGAGAAATGACAGAGAAGAAGCTCATCATAAAGCTTCACTGCTCAACGTTGTGACTGCTGTTGTAAAGGGCCTGCACATGGTTAACTGGGGCCATCTGAGACACGCTCAGGTATTGGAAGCATCCCCACAGTTCTGGGAGGTGGGACAGAAGACCATGGGGGACCTGGAACCCTACTGGAGCAGCAGGAGGAGACATTTGGGGTAGATGCACACAGTCAGGCAAATGAACTGAGCCTCCAAATTTACGAGATCAGGATGGAGAGAAGACCTGGACAGCCACGAGGGAAGAGAAGCATGAATTCATATCTGGTGCTCTGAAGCTATGGCCAGCCCTGTATTCAAAGTGACATTGCTTAGAAAAAAAATTCTACAGCAGTAATAGCAGCGTTGTTTGGAAATGACAGCAAGAGAGTCATCTGGCACAGGAACTGCCATCAAGGCTTACGTTCCTCATGACCAACACCCCACCTTCGAACAAAGTACAAATTTGTCTGTCAGCAAGGGACTGAAGTCCATCCAACCATTACTTCACCAGTTAAATGGGTTAAAATGTTCCATTTGTTCAGGAATTGTCTCAGGATACAGCGAGCCCAAGTTCAGCAGTCACATATAAATGCCACTGACTTAGCAGGCATAATCTTAGCAGAGGTTGGCGGTTCCCTGACACAAACTAAAGCCCAGGCTACTGGAGATGGAAAGAGAGCCACAAAAAGCACTCACACAGTATAGGGTCTTTGTCTCAGCTAAGATTTAAAAAAGGCATTAAGAAAGGAAAGATTGTATTATAGAAATAGCGTTAGGGATTTTAAAAATATTGTTAGCATTAGCTGGTATTTTATCATTACAGCATTTTAAACGGTTAGTGTACAGGATGCAGTTTTCATAACGACATAGGCTAAACTGTTTGAGTTAAACCTAAAGTTCCCCCAGCTTTATTTTAACCTACTCAAAAGGCATTAAAGCATATCCTGGTCTATATAGTTTTTTAGACTGTATTAATTAACAGCTCGTAATAGCACTTTTGTATCTTCATTTAGGCAAAACGAGAGCAACAGTGTGGAGGCAGCCTACAAGCAAGTGAAGCATCAGTCCAGGGAATAGCTGCCAACCTCCCTCCCTGCCTGCACAGCCCTGGTGATGGGCAGGCTGGGGAAGATGCAGCAGGACCATGGCTTTAGTTGGGGCACACAAATCCCTAACACAGTTTCCTTACACCAAGGGAAGAGCAGAGAAAAGGCAGTCCTAAAGAAACCACCGAAATTACTCAGATCCATCTCTGCTGCAGGTGGTGCACACCTGGACTGGGACTTCCAGTTTCACTTCCTCCGCATAGGATCTGGTTAGCACACAAGCAGAAAGGACCGGGGGACTCACTCCAAAGCCACACTGCTGATCTGAGCTCAAGAACGAATGCAGGTGCAGCCACCATACACCTCAGGAATCTGATACCCCATGAAGATCCTACCATTAATTTTTAGTGAGAAAGTATTAATTTGACGCCATCTGCCCTCTGGCAATGTTGAGCATTACCTGCCGTGGCTGGTTGACCTTGGCTCCTGAAGACAGCAGCAATCGCACGACATCCAGGTAGCCTCCCTGTGCCGCCAAGAAAGTTGCAGAAGCTCCATCCTGAGTACAAACACATCCAGTTTATCATATGTTAAAATGATGCCAGTGTTTTGCACCAAACCAAACCAAGCAGAATCAAGTCCTTCTGATGCTAGTGTGCAGTGTAACAGCACATACACAGCTAAACTCAGAAATAATTAACAAAATCCAAAATTTAGTTCATGAAAGACTATGCTAACATTTTCATTCAACACGCACAAACACAAGCTCCCATTATATACGAAACTGAGCATTAAATACTCAGCCTAGAATACTAATGTTCATCACAGCACTAGTGAATAAGTAGGAATCCATTCCCCATAAGTAGACATCCATTCCTATATAGCAAAATACATTCATTTAGCTTTAGCAGAAAGATTTGTTTAGGTTCCCCAGCAGAAGTCTTCTGCTTTGGAAGTGAAAAAGTGCTCAAGAGCTGATGTTTTCCATGTTGAAAATCCTTTACATTTAGCTTCATGGAAGATTCTTCCCCAGAAAAAATTAGGAAGTCATGAGCACAGTTTTTTTGTTTGTTTGTTTTTGACAAAAAAGAAAAAATCCAAACAGCATTAGGATCCACCTAACCAATTGGAGGTGGAAACCTGCACTGAAGCTGGAACATGGATTTACCCACCCTACACCCAGAGTGCTCCACACAGAGAATGTTCTCCCGGGAGCTGAGGCTCTCTTAGCTGCAGACACGACTGAACAGAGACCCGGCGCTGCCTCTCCGGTGTACGGATACCTGTCTTCCAGGCACCTCATGCTTGTACGCAGGCAGTTGTAGTGGAAGCCCCTTGGGGACACTGTTGGCATGCCCCTGCATTGGGACTGAACGCTGCTGTCTGCTTAGAGATATTACTTAGATACTGTCGAGCCTGTAAAGCTGAGCACATGCCTGTGTTCATTCTCATCAGCTGAAAATCTGAACTTAAAATGTGTGACCTTGATTCCTAGACTAGTGTCCCAGTAAACAACAAGGTGTCTGCTGGCACTGCAAATTAATTCCTCCGGGCTCTTGGAGGGCTTGTTTGCTCTGACTGCTGTGCAGCTGCATTAAATACAGTGGTAATATCTGGCTATTTTGCAGACTTCCTCCAGAGACAGGCATAGCAACATTTCCATTTAGAAAGGGAAAAAGGTTCTGGAATATTAAAAGTTTTTTTTTTTTTTTTTTATTTTTGGACATCAATTGATACAGAGAACCTTGCTTTACCTATCATCTAACCAGTTTTTAAATTAATTATTAGTTTCTTGTAGTTGATTTGAATTGATGCTGGTATAACCGTAATCAAACCTTCTTGCAAGACACACACTAGTTAGGGTATCCTCTTCTCCTCTGCCCCTTACCCTAATCAATTTAAGATTAAAACATCCATCTTGATGGTGTGGGGAGGACTGCCCAGGCGTGTGTTTGAAATCCCTCACATCTGGCAGTCCGCCAAGGAAGCTGCCAAGCCAGCCAGATACCACTTTGCAAATTCAGCTTGGCAATGTCCCACCAAAGGAATCAGGCTAGTGCTCCTTTTCAAGAGGATGCCTTCTTATTTTATCAAGCAGCAGTTTTTGAAAGGGTTTGCTTAATGCCTGTGAGCAATGAAAACACACCCCTAAATCCCACTGCAAACATTGCTCATTTCCAGGAGACACCGCAAGGAGGGTATTTCACTGCCTTTCCTTCTGGGAGGGTGTCTCCAGGTGTGGCATCACTGCTGTTTTTAGAGCGAGTGGAAAACCCCGGGATTTCCAAACAGCAAGTGATAAGCGTCATGAACCCTGGCCCGCTGCAAAGAAAATCAGTGTTTGCAGCAGCCACAACCCTGCAACACCCTCACGGCAGCCGCGGGCAGGGGCAGCGCGGGGACCCCCTGCACCCCGTGCACAGCCCCTCGCACCGTGGTCATTCCTGCAAGGCCACCACAGCCAAAATCTGCCACGCTTTTTGGGTTAGTTTTAGCTCAGCTTGTTTACCTCTCCACTGAAGTAAATTAAATCCAGTGCTTGATCAGCTCGGTCCAGCTGTGTGAAAAGGCAGCTAAACTGTGCCAACGCAGTCATTTTAACTGCGCATTCCCCAAAGCACTGAGAAGCTAGAGATGCACAAATACCCAACATCATCATTTTAAAGGGATAATTTTAAAAAAGATTTTAAAGACAACATCACTTTTCTGCTCCTTTTGGCAGCTAATCCAGAAAACTAGCTGATTCTCTAAATCCTCAGTGGTGATTTTCAGCTTTCCACACTTCTGCCTGCAATGCTTTCTGACATGGTAAAACAGGACATAACCTTTTGTGCAAAGGTAAGGGATAGCACAGAGCCAGTCCTCTTTTGGAACATTTCTTTCCTATGGATAATGAACCAAAAGGCAGCTAAAGCCTCTTTTCTGATTTTGTGCCACTTTCCCTAGGACCACGAGAAGCAGAGTTAACAAAAAACACATCTTAGAAAAGTGGAGTACTACAAAAGCGCAGTTTTTGCCAAAGGCTTTGCTGCACTGGCACCGGAGAATCTGCTGTTTTCCAGCGAACAGTGTGTTTGTTCCATCACCAGCGCTGTCGATATCTCTGTCACATAAACTCGCAGAAAGGTGATGTCTGTGTGAAATAAACTCACATAAAGCTGATCGTGTATGTTGGCCCCGTGCTTCAGCAGGGTTTCCACCACTTTCGCGTGCCCATACTGACAGGCTGCTAAGAGGGCAGTGCCTCCGTCCTGTGAAAAAGCAGAGAAGGGCACAGTAAGGGGAGAGGGCAGATGTACTCAGCATTACCACGAAACATAAGCAAGTTTTGAGGCTTTTCAGAATTTGATTCTTGGCAAGTCTATGGTGACTAGCTACTGAATTGTTCATAGCTGCCTCTCACCGAAGAGTAGGCAGGACACTCCTGGAAAGCCTGCTAGCTAACCATGGAAGTGAGCATCCCACCAGACCCATGGTCACCAGGGAAAAGCCATTACTTCTGCTGGAGAAGTGATCCCTGAAGGCAGGAGCAACCCCAGGGTTATAGTTACTGCAGGTCACCACTAAAGGGAGACCTAGACATGTGCAAAGAGTCAGGCTTGTACAACTGTTCCCTCCTGCTAGGTGAGGAGGGAGAGACTTTGATGTTTCCAGCTAATGACTTGACTCCCAGCCAGCTGAAGACACCAGAATAGCAGATGTGGAGCTGCTTGTAGGTGCACCCCATTCCACTCAAACTTTACCATCATTTCTGGCACCAAGATTGAAAGGATATTCTCATCTGCCTGTGACGGCTATGTGCAGGAGGAGATCGTCTCTCTGCCAGACATTTGAGGACAGTGACAAGATTCACATGTTGGGTCTCCCTTAGCTCTCTTTTCTGTTTTCATCCCTTTGTATGTATCCCATCTAACTCTTCTCTCTTGATCCCAGCTCCCTTGTCCAGAGAGACCCTGCCCTCCCTCCCTAAGACAAGTGGGACTGGCCCTTTTCCTCAAGACCCAGGGCAGGAGATGGTGCTGTGTGAGGCATCCCCAAAAGCACAAGCCAGGGAAGTCTTTGCTGTGCTCCCAGGCTTGCCATCGGGACACCTGGGAGTTGAAGAAAGACATTGCAGGGCAAGTTAGATATCAGGATATTAGGAAAAATTCCTATATGAAAAGAGTGGTGAAGCATTGGAACAGGCTGCTCAGGGAAGTGGTGGAGTCACCATCCCTGGCAGTGTTCAAGGAACGTGTAGATGAGGCGCTTAGGGACATGATTTAGCAGAACTGGTGGTGATGGGTTTACGGTCGGACTCGATGATCTCAAAGGTCTTTTCCAACTATAAGGGTTCTATGATTCTGTGATCCAAAGTCTCCTGACTCACTGCAGCCTTTGCGAGGATGGGGAAAGCCATCGCGTGAGGATGGTGGCACGCGTGCCCTCAGCACCCAAGGTCTCCTCTCCTTTCTACTTCCCTGCCTACTCCCATTCTCAAGCTCCTGCTCCATAAGACAAGTTATGTGAAGTATTTCAAATAAATGGTTTCTAGAACTGTTATTAACGTGGGCAAAATACGTGCTTTTTCTCAGCCTTGGTCTTCTGAAACGGCTCCAAAGTTTTGTCTGAAATTTTCCATGCAGACAGATATCCAGCAAGGGAAATTGCAAATGACCGATGTTTTGCAACTGACTCTTTTCTAATGGGGAGTGCCAATCAGCCTATTAATCTGTGCTGCTATTTCATGCCTGTAACAGCCTCATGAAAACTCGAAGTCTGACATAACTGAGCAATCCCACCGCGACTGTCTATGGCTACTCTCAGAACTCCATATTCATCCTTCCTCCCTACAATTTTGAAAAGCAAACAAGTCTTGATGATCAGCAGAGTAACTTTTATGTAACAATCAAAGAATTGCATATTTATTTTGGATTATTTGAGTCCACAGAGTGTGTAATCTCACTCGCAGAGACAAGTTACTCTATAGCTACAGTGCATTACTAAAATTTCCTGTCAAATTAAATTGTCCTAATTAAATAGGAACTGCAGGAACAAAGCAGAAAAGCAACCACATTGGTTCCCAGATAAAAAAAGAACCCCCTACACATCTTAAAAAACAATAGCAAAAGCTAATGGCTTCATGGAACCTATTTCCCGTCTCCAACCAGCTGAAAACTGTTTTGCCCAAGTAATGAGTTATCAGATCAAAGGGCTGCAAACAAA